TTATTATTTGGCTAACAGTTTCACGTTTGGCAAGTGGAACACTCCGAGGAGCTTGACGGATTGGCCTTGCATCGCCAGTATCAATGCGATGTTTCACAACGTTAGTCCTGCCTGGTTTGTCGCCATCCTTGTCGAATATGTTGCAGTATCTTCGGAGAAGTTCCTTAGCCTTGTGCTGGTATTTTTCTTCCAACCCTTCCGTCCATGCATTGATGTCTTCCGAAATGTCATTCGCACCAATGGAATCGCTTTCAGGTAACTTTTCGCAGTTGAAGATTGCCTCTACCTCTCGACATTGCCCCAGTACAGTTCCTCTTCGGAGTTTGACTGGTGATTTGAACTCATTGAGCACTCGAACTGGGATGCGTCCATCCTTTTGCGTCTTAGCCAAGGTTTTACCAATAAGTACGTCCGGTGTAGAATTTTGTGTTGCTTCAACAACCCACAATTTGTTTGTCCCACAATCTCCATCAATCTTTGCCCACACAACTGCTTCTGACTTCGGTGGAATCTGCTCGCTTTCCTCTAGGATCACTCGCTTGCTGCTGTACGGATCATCATACCCAAACCGAAGGGGCACTTTCATGTTGTTATACGTCATAATCCTGTTTTTCATGTTGATCTTCATACCTTGATCAAGCATGAAGTCTAATCCAATGATGACTTCATCCATAATCGCCGCGACTATGAACTTGTGTAACACCGTCACATTCCCTATTGCGACTTTGCATGTTACCTCCCCTACAACTTGGGTGTCCTCACCAGTTGCTGTCCTCAACCTTGCTCCAGGTAATGGCCTTACCTCTTTAGTGACCAAATCAGATCGAATGATGGAATGTGATGCGCCCGTATCCACAGTTAGTACTCGCTCATGTCCGTCCACATATCCACCATTCTGCCAATTCGCGAGACGGAGATTATGGGGCATTCAATTGCGGGAGCCAGCGCGCGCCCCTTGCTGCTGGCTCGTTTTAGTTTAACGACTGATTGGAGTTGGATTCGTCTCCTTCAGCCCTGCGTTTGCGTCCTGCTGAATTGTTGAGCGCACTGGAACTTGCGCTGCAATCGCGGGCGAAGTGGCCTGGCTTTCCACATTTAAAACAATAGCCAGAGAAATGCTTTTTCTCGCCCAGCAGTTCGATAATCTCCTTCAGCATTTCATTTGTCTCGTCCGGTGTTTCCACTTTCACGCGATGTGCTTTGTAGGCTGGTCTACTTAGGAGCGCCGCCGTTTCACGCGTCTGAGCATACGAGACAGTTTCAGCAAATGTTGGCTTTGGATTCGCGTACGTCTCTCGCTTGGTATACACGTCCCGCATTCCGTTGATGAACCTCTGGATTTTTACTCTTTCGAGGTGCTCGCCAGATGCATCTCCAATTGCCAAATGAGCCAACCTTTCAACCTCGGAGGCGAATTCCTGTAGAGTCTCGTTGGATTTCTGGCAGCGATTCTCCAGCTCCATCTGGTAAATTTGTCTCCTGTGCTCGCTACCATGACGTCTTTCCACTGCACCCATTAATGCATCGTAATTGTTCCTTTCACAGTCAGGAATTGTCTGCAAGATTTCCGCTGCAGGTCCTTTTAATGCCACGTACAGTGCAGCGGATTTATCCTCCATGCTCCAATAATTTGCTGCAGCCGTTTTTTCGAACTGTAGCTTAAAGACCTGGAAAGGAATCGTGCCGTCAAAGGATGGGGTTTTTACCTTGGGTGCGCTCGACGAAGTAGCTGGACGATTCAACTGTAAATCACGAAGACGACCTTCCAATTCTTCTACCTTTGCTTCGACTTTCTCCTGTCTCTCTTCAAGTTTGTCCTGTATTTGTGTAATTTTTTCATCCTGTGCTTCCAGCTGTGATGATATGCGTGCCTCCTGTGCCTGTACCTCAGTTTCTAACCGGGATGACACCTGCGATGACACCTGCGCTGATACCTCTGAAGATATACGTGTGTCCAAGGCTTGCATCTGTAAGGAAACGTCTGACGACAACTGCGACCTCTGTTCCTGCATCATCTGCGACATGGCAGCCAATAACGTGTTCATGTCCATACCTGTTGATGAACTAGGAGCCTTTTGCTGTTCCTCAACCCTTCCCGGCTGTCTGCTGCAAACCCTTCGACGAACAATCAGCCTCATCCTTCTGTTCGTCCTTCGTTGATGTCGTATTTGTCAACGTCGATACCTTCCTTTTCCATAGCCTCTCGCAGCCGCGTAGTAGAGTTAATACTTTCCTTCCGGAGGTTGCTAAATTTCGCTTCTCCAACTCCTGTTTGAGTTCCCCGATCTTTAGGTCTTGAATTTTTGCCATTTTCAAAAGTTTATCCTTCGGGATTTATTTAACAATCCCACTTCTGACACCAATTGTTACGATTATCCTTGAAACCTAGAGGGATTTCCCAAATATCCATCGGTTCGTATCTCTGGATTGTTAAATAAATGCTAACGATGACCAAATTGTAGGACAATTAACTTTATTGTACAACAAACCATTTACAATACTCGCTAATACAGTAAAAAGACTTTACAATACTTGTTAAAGCAATAACAACGCTTTACTAAACTTGTTAACACAATTAAACTTCTAGCTTGCTTATTCGCAACTCACTTCTCTGCTCACTTTACTTGTAGCTTGCTGACTTGTAACTAACTCACTTCGCTGTGGCGGCGCCCTTATATACCTGCGCTCGTACTTATGGCAACTCTAGAACGTTCTGAAGTTTATCGCTCATTCTATTTCTCTCGCTGTTCGCAGTGTTCATCCAACTTGACGTTTCTCTTTGTGGAACATTCTACGTCGTTCCTCGAACATTCTGCCTATTTCTCGTTGTTCGCTTCGCGTTGCCGCAGTATTCTTCACAATGTATATATATTCATATGAAAAAATATTTCCCGACAAGGGAACACATTTGTTTTTTAATGAAAACTATTGTGCAGAAATTAACAATAATTTATAAATGGTAGAAGTGATAGCTATTTCAGGGTTCAGTTTATAAGGCGAACTTAACGCAGTGCGTAGGCAACTGGCTGAGTCAGCTGGGGTCGTCGGTTCGAATCCCGCTGAAGAAGTCTGATGGGGAAATGTGGTGATATGAAGGGGCCTCAATTTTAGTCCGATTTCAATAATCTTCAACGTTTTGCTTTTATGTAGCAAGCACAATAACAATACCGAGTTTAGTACAAATTGGTAGAACGGTTACCGAGATACATATTTGTGATCATAAGTGGGCGGTGCTACGCCCATTTTCCAAAGTTTTATCATAAAGGTAAAGAATCGTTGCAATCATCAATTTTGAACAAATTAGCTTTAGTATTTACTGATTTATCGAAGATTTCGTATTTCTCTAAATTACCGTTTTATGGGATGTGGACGTGGTTATTTTCCGATTTTAAAAATTTTCGGCCATTTGGTATGTTGTACCAAGGCCAACAATTGTGCCAAGTTTAGAAGAAATTGGTGCAGCGGTTACCAAGATATAATATTCTTATTTTTCGTCTAAAATATCAGTTATGAGTGAATAATTTTCAGTAGTTACAAAAATGTCCCAGTTTTCGTATTTCTGAAAATTACCGTTATATGGGAGGTAGGCGTGGTTATTGTCCGATTTTGCCTATTTTC